GCATCATTGACGTGACATGGGCTGCAAGGTTGACAAGACCCTCGCCACCGTCCACCGAGACCAGCATCGGCCAAGTTGAGCCTAATTAAGTCTGGGGTTTACCTCTGACCAGGTACGGACGTCTTCAAGGGGGGAGAGAAGGGGAGAGAAGTTACCTTGAGATTGGGCACGGACGGACAGGATGATAACTATCCCACCCCGGATGAAGCCAGCTCAACATGCAGCCAACACCGATCTTAATACAACAGGTCCTTGGAGTCTTGCCTCCCGGACCAAGCTTGCTAGAGCCGGAAGCCCGTTTCCTGAGTCCTTGATTGACGAATCATTGAACAAAATGGCCATCCATGCTAGATGCATGATGTGCTTGCCTGGATAGGGATGTTCCTCTTGTCTCGCCTCACCGGGGATGGCCCCCCTTTTTTGAACGGGCCGGAGGCATCCTCTCGTCAATCATGCGGGCTACACTGCGCATCCAGATAAACCGTTTATGGAACTAGGAAATACCGCAGGCCGTCCCCCTCACATGAATCTTTACGCTTATCCTGTTGAGGGTGATCCGTCTTGCTCGCTCGCTCACCGGCCCGGTCTTGGGTTACGGTGGGTGAAGGGAGTCGAGAACGGCCCTGAGGAAAGCCATTTGGGCGCTGGTTGCGGCCCTGGGCAGGGCAACGTGGCGACCGGCCGCTGGCCATGGCCGGATGTTCCACACTGCATTGCATTCGGTTTGCATCAAGGCTCCGTCAGAGAAAGCAAGTGTAGGTACATGGACTCGAAATACATGAATGGCATCCCTGAGATGAACTGCTCTGCACACTCCCCTCCACGGCCGCCGTGCCCTTGTACGCTCTCTCTTTCTTGTCGATCAGGCATGCGGGATCGTGATTTCTCATCTGCTGTTTAGCCTGTCCTCCTCGGCGCTCGACTGGTGGCTTGCCAGCTCCACCGGGCAATGCCTTCCGGTAGCATCCTATTGACTAGGCTGGCAGTGTCCCTACCATCTGCAGCTCACATATTGACAAACGGGTGCGTTCATTGGGGGAACACGACGTCCACTCCCCACGTTAACAGGATCATGAGAGGAAGGTGTAACTAGACGGCAGATCTACGACCGCCATGAGCGGCCGTGGCAGGGCTTTGATCGTCAGGCATAACCTTGCATGAGACAGACAGGATTGTCGAGAAGGGAAGTGCGTTAGCTGTGTGCCTTACTGATTGACAGGCCGAGGGAACATCAGGCTCCCGCGAAAGCGACCTGGCCCAGCCTGGGCCGGAGCGGGGACTTGATCTGATCCTTTGCAAGTATCCATGTCTTGGCATGTGGAATGACATGAACTACGGGCGCGGGCCAAGCGGCCCCGCGAACACCTCAACGTCGGCTCGACCCTTGCGACGGCTATTGGGGGTTCACTAGTAGGGGATTCCCTGCGTGAGCTATCGATGCGTTGTCAACTTGGAGAGCCGCTTACGGAAACGCTTGCGCTCGCGGTTGTGGAGGCTGTCTTGATGAGACGACGCGAGACGCCGTGCTCATACCACCAGTTCATCAACCTTGGAAGATCGGGTAGCGGACCAAGATGGGCGACAACGCTGCCGCCCTGCCCCCCTCTTTGTGGCTTTGGCGAAACTTCTGCCAGCGGGGCAAGGAAGAACTTTTTGTGTGAAGAAATAAAATGAGCGTAAACATGGCCCGAAATAGCGGCCAAGCGTAGTTCTAAGGCCGAGTGACCCGTGTTGGGTGTGGAGGTAACAGTCACCGGTGAGGTCAACCGACACCGGCCAGGCTCGGAAGGCTTCGACCTTGACGTGAGCCGGATGGACAAACGGGCCGTTCCGTTTGCCGATGGCAAGATGTCCAGCAAGTTGCCGTTGGGAGAAAAAACCGACGAGAATGCTTGGTGAATATAGGTGAGGTGGTATGGAAGGCGGTATGTCGTGCGACGGGGCGTCCGCCCATCATGAGAAATGCCATGTTACCACTTGGGAACGGCAGGGTGAAAGAGGGCCAAGACGACTCTAGACACTTGTGCAGAATAAAGGCCAATCAGACGCTCCGAGTTTTGCAGGAAAACTCCGCAAGCCAATCCGAGTTTTCGGGATCATGCGAATCATGTGTTGAAGAATCGCTACGACTTTCTCTGAGGCGCGATTGGACATGAGAAGCGAGACGAGACGGAGATTAAGGCCAATGATGCGCACTAGAAAAGCACGTCAGTCGGCCAACCATGGGATCCACGAGACAGCAGGGTTTTGACATCTGGTCGGGACATGGGTCGCTAGCCAAGTGAGCAGAGAACGACGACGGGAAGAGTCGACGTCAAGACAAAGGCCAGGACGGGGTACGGAGCACTGGCAGGGGAGACGGTCGAGGTTGGCCGAGCAGGGTGGACGTGTTTCTGTTGCAGCCGCAACGAGTGTCATGTTGTGAGATGATTGGCTACAGGGTAGCTGCGAGGCGTTGGGTCGGAGAGATGGGCCACACCACCAAAGCAAAGTTGATAAGAAATCGACAACACGCCATGGTTCTCGGTGGTCAAGACGGTGTTGTCTGGAGACCAACATCAAAGTGAACAGAACGGAGTCGACGGGAGTTGGCAGAATCTGGTGTTAGTGTCTCAGGAAGGCAGGTTGGGCTTCCCGAGGGGCCTGTCCGATGTCAAGGTCGTGTCCGTCTCAATCTTGAACGCCGTGTGACGACGCAGTATTGATGCATTTCGATGCTTCTGAACATCCAGCTCATGCAGCGGGACGATTGCCGCGGGTCTTGGAGCAGCGGATGCAGCCTCGTCTGGGAGGGAACGCTGCAGCAAGGATGCAAGCTATTTTCTGCTCCTCGCCGTCTTCCAAGCTGGCTTCACCGAATCATCCAACCAGCAAGTGGCAGGATGAATAGTTCGCAGGACTCTGCGTTGTCCAAGCCTGACGTGCGCAGAGTCGGCAAAGGGCAAGGCGACCGACATTACGCCATGGCAAGGTACGGACACGGTGACGGGGAAGCGAGTCGCGACGCGATGGCTCCCACACTCCGAAAGCAGTTCAAGTGAGCAGGGGACGATTGCTGTTGTCCGCACGAACTGCCAACTTGGTCAGAGGACGGCGCACGCCACGGTGGAAGGGCAGGGACCTGGGTGTTCGGGCTGGAAGCATGGTTATTGAATTGAAGCCCAAGTGTGCGACTGAGGGGAGTGCGGTGGACAAGTTTTCCGAGGGTAGGCGACAATTTTGGAGTATTTCCGTCGCAAAACAGGCAATGGGTGTGATGAGGTTGTTGACGGCCCATTCGGAGGCCATGTCTCCATGTGCTGTCCGCATCGGCGACCATGTCCACGCGGTACGGTCAGGGGCGAGCGGGCGGGGTATGTCTGGTGCAATGCTCTGTTGTTATGTGGGTATGGATCATTGAGGATGAGTCAATTGAAGCACTTATTTGAGGAGAGATGGCTTGTGAGAGAATTGAGGAGGACATGTTGAGTTTCGATGGTGGTTGTGATTGAATGAACAATAAGTAAAACTGTGTCGGCGTGTGCCCTGTAAGGCGTTCACATAATTACCTCCATATTGGTCAGTGGAGACTCCTAGTGTGAGGACAGAAGAACAGGCGGGCCAATCAGGGTGCTTGTGCATGATGTTTGCAACACATCTGCGTCTGTGTGAATAAGGTTTCCCATCATCCAGACTATCGACCGAAGGATGCGCGAACGCGCCAATTGCACGTCCCGATGGGATCTGTTTCTTTTATTGTCGAGAATTCTGAAGGAACATCGGGACATTGTTTCGTTTCCATGGAGATATATCCGAATGTTGAAGCATTCATCCGGAAGGATGATGTTATGGTTTGCAGAGATGGCATCCGAGATATGCGATAATGGATAGATGTGATGTACAATGCATAGACTGAGATATCCGAAGTGCATTATGCATCCAATGTGATGACCCATACTGAGTATGCAGTTAATGCATTCTTGCACAACAGACCCACCTGAAAACACCAACCAGAAGCCCCCTTCAAGTACGTACCGATATAGATACAGTGTGGGGTGCGACCGTTGACGGCTTCCCCAGGCAAAAAAACAGGAAGCAGGCACTGTGAACGCCCCTACCCGCTGGTGCCGTGTGACGCAGCCTGGAACGATGGAGGCGCAAGCTGCAATGCTGCACCAGCACCAGCACTCACTTCCATCAATGCATCTCACTCACTTCCGCGCCCGCGCCCGCGCCTCCCTCCGCCTCACCGAAGCATCCTCCAACCCCCACAACATCACGTCTGGTGTTGTTGATCATTCTCTTGCCTTTTCCCACACACTCACTCCCTCACTCCCCTCCTCGGTCAGTGACCATTGTGCGCCGAGTACCCATATCCAGCTCGGGTTGAAGGCACCTGCGATATCTGGACATCACTTCGCCATCTGGCCTTGCTTGCGACTACGACATCGGTCACTCATACGCCTCGTCGTCGCGGGGTATCCATCTCCTCTCATGATTCCTCCTTTGCTGGCCGCCTTCGCATAAGCGTTTCGGTTGGCTGCCTCTCGAAGTCATCAACAACTTGACGACCTTGCCGCCGTGCAGACATCGGCTACTTGATATCCGCCCGTCTATCGAGCCATCTCAACGGCCGCAAAACCCCGGGCCGTTTGGAGTTCGGCCGGGTCTAGGTCGGCCAGCAACCAACATCTTTTTCTTCTGCTACCGCGCGCAACCAGGCCACTCACACAGGGCCTTACTCGTTTCAACCAGCACCACCTGCATTGTTTCTTCATCGCCTTGATCGGCGCCGTACTTCCTCATCTCCGAACCCCCAGTCCACGGCGGAAGTCACCGGCTAACCTTGAACCTCCACCGTGACCAACACCACCACCACCACCATCACCCCCGGCCGTATGCGCCAGCGCTCGCGACTATCTTCGCTGTAGTCTCTTGCCAACAGATACGCAGGACTCCATCACTCCCTCTGGACCTTTCATTTTTGTCACCATCTTGTCTTGCAGGCGACCGAGTCAGCCATGGACGCAATGCACGACGAGATGGCCCCAGAACAGCTCATCCCCCCGACCCGCCAGCTTGCAAACTCCCACCCGCAACTTGGCCATCATGAACTTGACCCTGCGCTTCGCCCACCAACCGACTCCCCGCCCTCGGCGGCCGCTGATGCCCGACCATGGACCCAGATACAGACGCCGCTCCAAGTTCGTGACGACCAGCCGCAGCCGCCACCGCACCAGACCCTCGCGAACTCGTGCCTCACCTTGTGCCGACGGCCGCATCACCCTGCCAGCGTGTTCCTCTCCGATCTCCCCAACGAGCTCCTGCTTCACATCCTCGGCTACCTGGATGTGAACGATCTACTGTCCACTTCGAGGGTAGGCTTCTTCCCCGCGTTGTCGCTTCTGTGATGGTCCTCGACCCTTCGTCTTCGTCTCGTCCCAATCATTACCCTCTCCCCCGCAAGAACCTTTCTGTCCCATGTAATTACACGCACGCTCGCACCACTTGATCCGTAGTTTTTTTTTTTGCTCTGTGTTTCGAGAACTCTGCTGATGACACAGACCAATCACCACCTGCGTCACCTGTCCCTCTCGCCCATTCTTCACCACTACCGCCTCCGGCACACACGTGCCATCTTGCCCCCTCTGCTGGCGTCCCCCTCTCGCCCGTCGCTGGCGGAGCTCATCGGCCGCTCCATCTTCCTGACGCACACCTCCGTCGTCTCGCGCCGTCTGGCCCGCTCCCTCGTGTCTATCCGGCTGTCCCGCCGCCTCGCCTCCCGACCCTCGGCCGAGGCTCTCGTGGAACGCGCCGTGCTGCCGCCCGAGTGCGTCCCGGGCTTGAACAAGGTGCAAGTGGCGCCTTCTCTCGTCGCGAAACGGCGGGCCATCGAGAAGGAGAGAGTCAAGGACGGTTTGAGACAATGGGTCGAGGGCGTGTGGAAGGGCGAGGTGCGACAACGAGAGGAAGGCGTCAAGAAGTGGGAGGAGAGCAAGGGTGTCGGGAGGGTCTGGCGACTCCGGCGCTTCTGGGAGAGGGTCTCGAGGGGAGATGGCGTCGGCCTCCGGTAGGCCTGTCGGCGCTTGTAAATGAACTGTGTATATGGTTTTGGAGGGCTTGGGCTCTAGGCGTTAGCGTTCCGCTCTGGGAGTGGACCAGGAGGCGTATGGTTGTCGCTTCGGTGCTTGCCTGTAATGATGTAAACGATAACGTGTGTCACGATGAATGGATGTTTGATTATCGACAGTTTGCGACGCAAGATAGTTTAGTCGTGACACAAGTAAGCGACGAAAATTCGAGCGTATGTCTCGCTGACCACCTGGGTGGTTGCTATTGTGTAGCAGTGGCTGATGCTTCACGAAGTTCTGCCATGGGAATCACGTCTTAGTTGCGGGGATCCGAGACGCTGTTAAGTCACTGAATTGACTTCAATGACGGCTTGTATAGCCATTCACGACTTGAACGCAACCAGAGGTGCCTCAATGACCTCCAGCAAGCCTTCTCAGCAAGAGAGCTGCATCACATTTGGGCAGAGCCACACCATCCGTCAACATTGCTGGGGAAGATCGCATGTTTCTACCGTGCCACGGCAAACATTGCTTGTCGACTGTTTCCACTGTCGTCCTTCTAACGACAATGGCGACAGTTTCTGTCATTGCACAGAACTCGTCGCCAAGTAGATACTGTGCGTATCAGCACAGAGAAGCGTAACAACAGCTCGATAGTCAAGTGCTTCAAGCGACAGAACAACAATTGATTTATTCATCATCAAAGGTGGTGCAAAAGCGCCTTAATGGAGATTTTCGTGCCCCTACACTGCAAAGGTGGCCCCTGGCCCGGACTTGGGGCTTTCAGGGGTAAGCATTTGCAACCGCCCAGCGTCGAAGAGATAGTAGAAAGCGCCCACCCAGGACGGTTTGCAGCGACTTGGCCATGAGGGCGATATCCTTTCAAAATTGAGATCAATGTCTCTCACATAACTATGAGTTGGCCCAGAGAACGTGAGGTGAGGTAGGCATGGATGGTGACGGACTATGCTGCTGGAATGGCGCCAAGACCCCCTGAGCCCTTGCACAGAGAACTCCTACCAGCGCCAGGCGGGTCTTGGGCACATTCTGAAGCTCCAGAAAGCCAGTTCAAGTGACAAAAAGAAAGCAACCTAGCTTCAGATATGATGATTGATGATATTTGTACTCGTCTTTGAGATTGCCTACAGTCCAAGACCTATGAAGCCCGTTGTAGGTCTCGCACCTTGAGGGCATAAAAGCCAAGTGCCTAGCCGTGCTCAGGGTGCTTGAGATGGATTTGAAAACAAGTTAGCAGCAAATAGAGCGAGTCTCAGACACTGCAAACTAATGTACTCCTAGGCCCTCAAGGTTCTGGACATTTACTTCAAGAACAGGGCCCCGTTCGGTGTCATCCGCGTTCCTTATTGATGTTGTCGTACTCCCGGATCTTTACGCTTTGCACATAATTTGTTGCTGCCATGGCTTGCTTGCTTTCTCAACGTCGTCGCGAGTTCGAACGAATTCTAGCACGGGCTGTCTACTTCACTTGCTAGCACGCTGTGAGCCCGGTACCCGTGGTACGAATCTCGTCACTTCTCTCACAGCCAGGTATGCGCATACGCTTCGGAATTCTTTCCTCACATCTTTCAATAGTATCGGCTTCATACGAGTAGTTCCGTAGATGCTTCTGCAATCTCGGAGCGTGGCGACTTTGATAATCAGGCGGGAGCGTTGAAGTCGCTTTCGTCGGGATAGGTGTCTTGTGCTAGACTTCATGGGCTAGCATGTGCTTCAGAATACTGGCATTATAATTATGCGGTGTCTACTCCTCGTTGCTCCCCGAGGCGAATTTGCTTTCGCTGATGGCAGCGTCCGCTGACGATGTCTCCCTGAAGCCAACTGGTGATATTGTGGTCAAGACAAGGGAGCTCCTAATTCCCGTTTTTAATTCAGAATGGTTCCCGGAGGCGTGGCACGACTTGACAGGGCTCAAGACGCTGTGGTACATGACTTCCGTATCCCACCCTGCCACTGCCGTTGCGATGTCTAGGGGCCATGGTTATTGTGCAACAGGTAAGCCATTTGCCTAGATACACCAGAGAAATACCCCTAGAACTGTTCAAATTCGTTATCCATTAAGAGCGTATTGCCAGCCGGAAGTCTTCTCCCACATTTCCCACTGAAGCTGTGACATTTGACCCAGTCCAGACTCCAGAAGCTAGCATACACACAGTGCATGTACCTCATTCCTATGGGCCTCTTGTATCTCTCCCTTGCGCGAGGTCCTTCAAAGGCCAGATCTCCCCGCGTCTCGCCCTGTAAACTATCGACTTGCTCATTGATAGCGCGTAGTACCACAGGCACTAATGGGGACAGTCTACGTCTTCCCCGTCTGGTTCATCTTATCGACACTATCGTCGGCGAATACTTCGCCTTCATCGTTGCAAAAAGGGTCCAATTAGGTGACATTCATCCAGTCGTGACGCGGTGATCTTGCCGGACAACCAGGGAAATGACCTTTTAGAAAACAATTCGGCATTATCAACGTCAAACCTCAATATTCATCATGTTTTCTGAGACCTTCTTGGCAAACATCGGAATAAGGTTGCATGCAGGCACAAAGATCGTTGGTCCAACGTCAACTACCGAGACAGCAAAGCGGGAGCGCCCGCGGCGCCGAGATGTTGGTTCACTCAGCGAAGAACAGTCGAAGGGCTAGCGGCAGAGATTCAATGATGCCGTACATCTCGACCGATGCACGTCGACTTTGTCGATTCGGAGGTTGAACGATGCTATATGACGGACATACGAAGGGCTAGAGTGCCGCCGTGCGATTACAACCTGCGTCTTGTTCGTCACGTCCATCAGTCGCCCTACAAGGATCGTATCACGGCACAATTTATGAGCTCTGGCCCCTCGCGGGAATCATCAGAGGCGAGCAGAAACGATTCCTAACTAAGCTCGATGGAGCGGCAGGCTGACTACTCTAGAAGGAAATATGCCCTTTATTGCGCCTTCCACGACGAGCTCATTCTCCTTTCCAATTAATTATGCGGTTGCTACCTCTGTCAATGCTGCTGTTCCTGTCCACCTCATCATATCTTGCAGTGTGCCATAGCAGGAGATCGCAACTCTTCCTTGTCTGGTGTATGGATGTGCAGGTCCCGGGGGGAGGCAGCATCAACCCTCGCGGTGGACTGGGGCTGATCTTAGGAGGACTCATCGGTACGGCGGGTAGTGTCCGAGGGTGCATTTTGACTGGAACGAAGAAGTTCATCGTCGGCAGCGGTAGTGGGAGAAAGAGGGAGCATATCGCCTAGGTTGTTGTCGTCCTCTGGAACTGCCGGTCGTTGGGCCTGCTCACCCTGTTCTGCCTGCTTGGGTTGTGTGTCCTGGGCATCGACCTTGACGAATTCCACAGACCTGTATCGGACTTGATTAGGTGACGGATGAATACGGGCAGGAAATGACAAACATCCAAAAGGCTATCTCCTCGTCGAGTTTGCGCTTCTTCTCTAGAACAAGCTGAAGATGCTCCTTCGCAAACCGAAGCTTGGTTTGCATGAAAGCCTGCTCGTGCATCGTAGCTGTGTCGTGATACTTCTGGACGATCTCGCTATCGATACGTACCACCTCTTGAGCGTGCATGATCGTGTCATCATTGAGGGGGTGGCAGGTCAGGAGTTGGTGCATACCAGCCTCATGGTCCGCGCATAGTCCCGGCTCTCTGACGAGATCTTCGGCCATCGTGAATGCCACGAAACGCTTTCCACAGAAGTAGAGATCCCAGATTTGGTTGTATCTATTCGTCAAGTCCTTATTTAGGTCGTCGACGTCAGGGGTTGCCATCGTGGGTCGACTGGTGTTGACCTGTATGGGAGTATGTTCTGGTGATGAAGACGATGACGAGGCGGAAGAATGGAAGAAGGTGGACTGGCTGAAAAGACATTCAGGACCTGAGAAAAAGATGAAAGGCGCGTTGATGGAAAGTTCTGCTGGTGGGAGGTGCGATAGTAGGAGGTGGTGGATGGCGCGTTGGCGGAAGGTGTGTTGATCGAAGGTGCCTTCTACATCCAGACTGGCAGACCACGCCAGGAACCCATGGCAAATGATGGCTCGATAGCTGACGGGAGGAGCCCCCGGACAAGGCGAAGTAAGAGCGTGTTCACCGGCCATTATTGATGCCAACGTTGACCGAAAGCCTATCCTGCCTAAACGCCTCTTGGATGAGATCAGGGCTACTTCGTATAAGCCAAGGCATCTCGACACCTGTCATGCGAAATCATAGATAGGATAATAAATCATAAATCGAATTGCTAAAACGCATGCCTTAGTGAACAAGCAAGAGACAGGCAACACAAACTCCGTGACTTCCCAGCTATGCAATGCCACGTAAACTATGCTGAACAAGCATTCCTCCTAAACGCCGAAAACTACCAAATCCTCTTCGCAACCATTTCGTACCGGTAGACTCCGTTATAGTCACTTTCTGGGGGCTTCTCTGCCTTTTGCACACGTCCCTTGCCACCCTTCAGGCCCTCCTTCTCGTCCGCATGAATCCACCTGCGCCTGTCCTCCGTCACCTCGATATGGCCGTACCCGCCCACACGCTTGCCCTTGGCATCGTAAGACTCGCGCTCCTCCTGACCCGTTGCCACCAAGTGCTCCTTACGCTTCATCTTGGCGTAACGGTTGCGAGAGTACCGCAGGAGGATCATGCCCAACAGGAGTTTAATGACGAGAAGGACGAGGAAGGCGATGAAGAAGACGACGATCATTGTCACTGCCGCGATGACGTCGTCGCTGGTCCAGGACCACCACGAGCGGGCCTTGACGCCCGGAGATGCGTACGGGTAGCCGTAGACGGCGCGCCCCAAGGCGTCGCGCAGTAGTGTGTCGAGGCGGTCGAGAGCCGCGACCATCACGGGTGAGGATGGCGTCGCAGATTCGACGGAAAGCGACGTCTGTGTTGACTCGGGAAGTGGAGTAGGAATTCTTGTGGATAGGAACATGTGATATGTCTGTACCGATGCCCGGATGAAGAGACACGAAAGGGGGATGACAGCAAGGCCCAGTCGTCGAGTCAACGAAGGCGTGACAAAGGCCTGGGATGGTGTTAGGTTATGATCAAAGTTTGGGAAGGGGGCAAGGCATACATTTGTGTAGTAGTCCTTGCACAGGATATCGAGGATACGGCTGTAGAACGTCGGCTTGATGTTGTTGAACTTGTTCACGTAGGCATGCTTGATGGTGTCCACCAGCATCTCGCTGCCAATGACAATCAAGAAGGGGGACAGGACCTCGCCAGACCACACCCAGGATGGCAGCACAGTGAAGCTGAAGGGCAGGATGGACGGGCTGTGGAGAGGCATGGCGCCTCCACCCATATCACTGCCACTCTCGGAACCAGCGCCAGGCACAGACAGGCCGCCGACTTCGACTATGTTACGCATGCCGATGATCAGCAGCATGATCCAAAGCTGGAACCGCTCCACAATGTCGGCACACGTCAACTGGAAGAGGTTGTCCTTCTCAAACCGCTTGAACACGGTGCTCTTGATCTCGACGAACTGGTTCGAGATCATCAAGGTCAAGAGTGCGTTGGAGTATGAGTTGACAGCCACGTTCAGCGTAATGACCTGATAGTAAAGAGAGACGGAGTGGATGACGTTGTAAACGAGGGCCAGAACAAACATGCCCATGGGCAGGAGGACTTTGGAGCGACCGGAGCTGTTCCTTGATAGAGTCTCGGAACTGAACAGGCACTCGAAAATGTCCTGCCCGAGGGCGGAAAGCAGGCGATCGCCGACCTACCATTCCGTTAGCAAAGGTTGTCACGTTGACGTCCGTAAGTTCCCTACCTCGAGGACGTTGTAAATGACATAGAGCTTGATGCCATCCTGCGCTCGAATGAAATGATACATCCGACTGGCGTCCAACTTCATGAGAAACAGAGAACTGCACAGTATTACGGCTCCCTGTAGTAGATCGGCCTTGTGGAATGAGGACAAGTTGGATGGGATTGACTTCGTCCTCCTATGACGAGCCTGTCGATGTCCGGACATGTGCGTTGGATGGTGACCGGCAGAGCCATTTATCTTATAAGTGACTCCATGCCCGTTACCATTCATTTTCACTTCTTGCTCGATAACCTGATTGCCGTTTGTCTCCGAATCGATGTTGATTGTGGGAACGTCGCTTGAGGATCTAATATCTGGGGTTACCAAAGGCGTGCCCCGGTGCGCTGGTCGGCTTTGGCTCCTGTCACGGCTGACGAGGTGATCGGGGTCTTCATGCTGGGCCGAGGAGGTAGCTCTGGACCTGGGTCGTCGGGCTCTAGCCCATACTCTACCCAGTCCATGCCAGACGTATCCGATCATCCAGCGCGCTTCCTTTGCCGCGAGATAGCCCCACCACTTGACCAAAACGCCCAAGGCAATGCAGAACCTCATGGGTAGGATGGTGAAATTGTAAAGCCAGGCATCGAGACAGGCCAGGGCCCCGAAATAGAGGGTTCGTTCGAGGAAAGACGGCAGTAAGAGAACATTTTTGAGTCTTTCCCACTTGACAGCATATGACTCGTATGGAATATCATTAGTATGTGAGTGATGTATGTACAAAGGACTCGGTCGTTGGGCTGCCAGTTCTAGCTGTAGATGTGTTGGTATAGACATGGGCGGGAGGGGTATCGAAGGAGGCAGAGGCGAGGGCGGAAAGGGGTCATTTCGGGGAGCTTTGGATTGCTGCGACGACGGCGGCGGCACTTGGATCTGGGGTAATTTGGGCTGGCTCGTCGTCTGCGTCGGGGGAGGCAAAGGGCTGATAGCGTTGAAGTGGGTTGCCGCCTCGAGATTCAGGGGTGGCGGCCGAGCAACGGTGTAGAAGGAATTTCGGCGAGGAGAGGTTGTTTGAGACTGAGACTGTCTTCGGTTTGTCGGGGGCGTAGATAAGGTCCTTCCAGAGGTCGGGCGGCGCCATTCATCGTGATGTCGCGACCTGCTACCACCGTCCGTCACCGGCCCATTGCGCCGGAGGGTGTCCGGTTGGCTCAGGATCGACTGCCGAATCGCTTGCAGCTGCTCTGATATGTGCGCCGGCCGGTCCCCATCGCTTGCTGCGCCGTCTGCAACAACGGCAACGGGCAGAGCTTCTGGATCCTGCAGCTGCTGCATCCCCGCCACAGACAACCTCCTAACATTATCGTGGCTTTGATTCTTCTTCATGGATGCGGAACTAGACCCGGCTCTCGCCCGTGTCTTCTGCTCTGCGCCCTCCTTGTGTTCGGCATCCTTCTTCTCGACGGCGGTCGCAGGTTCGGATATGGAGGAAGAGTTGGAGGACTCTTGCAGCTCCGGCTTGCTGTGCGTCGAGGAGGCATCTGACGATTGCTCTTCGTCGGAGTGACCGCCGGGGATGGTAGGGAGTGTCGAGGTAGGAGGTGCGCTCGCAGAGACGCTGGGCAATGGTGGCATAGGAATATGCGAGACTCTGATGTCGGTTTTCGTATCTACGACATTGCGGTCGAGTGGCAGGCCGTCGGAGGGGAAGGCTGGCATTGCCGGGAAGGCCTCGACAGGCTCGGCGGCGGTATCTCCAGACGATGCATGGTCCTCGGCCTCTTGCACTCGGCGGTGTTCGCCTTCTGCCATTCCCAAGCCCTTCACTGTGTTTCGTGGTCGCGAGGGATCGGCTCCATTCGCTTTTCGCCGTCGGGGGTTCGTTGGTTCGCGGGAAAGCAAGGCGGACACGGATAAACGAATGAGGTAGCCCGAGGTAGTTGGATCGAGGATTCGATAGGTCGAGGTCAGGTCGTGTGCCGCACGGGAGTGAAGCGACGAAGCTTAGCCTTGCAGTTTGCAGTTCTTCGCAGGTTGATGGAGTGGGGGGTTCAGGACACACCAAAGACACGCTTTCGAACATTGAACGCTGAAAGTGTGCTGCCCAGCGGGAGGATCTCCAAAAGGACGACTGCGGATTGGACTGGTGATTGGCCCGGCGGACGCTCAGACAGGGAAACCTGGGCAGCCACGGCAGAGGAGAGCACTGTGGAGCACGCTAAGGGAGATTTGGATCTGGCCGTCTGAATGCGCTGGACAGTGGTCGCTGGTCACCCACTCAGTGCCTGGTAGGAGTGACGTATCACACTGGGCGGAAAGAGCCTGTGCGTGAGCAGCAAGCGATATCGATAACAGCGGTCTGAGTCAGCACGGATTTACGGATTTACCATCAATACGTGGAAGGTCCCATCCTCCATCCTTCCTTCACCTTGAGAAAGGCCGACAAGGTGAAAAAGCTCTCACCGAAACCGGACATTAAGTCATGGTGAGGTTACGGATAACTTCACAGCTGTGGCTCTTTTCTCGGTGGGGAGGAGCGTCATTCCAATCCCAAGTGAAGTTGCGACCTGCGACAGCCTTGCACCGTTTTTTCAGAGGAGACCCAAATATTTCTTCAAATGCCGAGGGATCGTCACCGCCAACACCATCTGGTACCGGGCCGCGATGGTGACATGCCCGCTCAAGAGATGGCTTCCGCCTTATTTCCGACACCGCGCGCGGGACACTGCCGCCCACCGGCACCGGATCGGTGACTTGCCTGGTTGGTGGTGGAAGCCCTAGCCGTCTTCTTTTTTTTGCACCTAGAACGCAGAGCGAACCCGAGGGCAAGGCGGGACTCTCGGCGAAGTGGGGAATGGAGTTTGGAGCTTGAAGGCAATACCTCCGAGTCTTGAGTCTGTTTCTTCGTCTGTTGTGTTGCCTCTGTCTCATCGAGAGGGGGCCCTTTGGAGCACATGGAGTCCGAGTTACACCGGTCCTGAACCAATTGGCGTACGGCGGAATCATTGCATTGGATCGGATCGGATCTCGGCCCACATGGCTTCCCCGTCTTGGGTGTCCAAGAAGCCAAAAGAATGCCCGTCCAGGAGGGCAAGAGGGGCTACCAAGTCGCAATGCCATGGGCAAGCAATGATGCATGCGCAATGAGAATCCAGTTGCTTGGTAATGCCTCACGTCAACGCCGCGGCCCCGGCGCACTCAACACCCGTGGCCGTGGGCCTTCCAAGCATCCATAGTATTGCCTCCATCTCAAGAGCCCCTCTTAGTTCCGTCCAAGCTAGGTGCTCAAGCTTCCACTCTTAAGCACGTCTACACCCCTTCTCCCTCAACAATAATACAAAACACCATCCTGCGTCTTCTTTCCAAGTTGCTCTTCACAACTGATTCATCTCAATAACCCAGAATGGCGTCTAACCCCCCCGGACAGTGCTGCACAGTCGGCGTCAAGCATGAGTACGTAACAGACATCTATCAATGACCCCGCCAGTTGACCCCTCCCCCACTTCGCAAAGCTTGATTCCCTGAACCGCGCACCCAAGCTCCTGTATCCCGCCAAGGATCGCAATCCAACCATCACCAGCATCTTGGACTCGATGTCGCTAACAATTTGTCATCGTGTAAAGGGGTACCCCTCAGGGCAAGAAGGTCTCCGTCGGCGGCAAGTATGAGGGCTACCTCGCTGAGGCTCCCGCCGACAAGGCTCACAAGAACACCGGCATCCTCTTCGTTGCCGACGTCTTTGGCATCTGGCAAAACAGCCAGCTTCTCGCCGACCAGTTCGCCGCCAACGGCTACACCACCCTGATTGTCGATCTCTTCGATGGCGACCAACTGTCTCTTCCCATGCCCGCTGGCTTCGACATCATGAAGTGGTTCAAGGAGGGCAGCGATGGCAAGCACCCCCACAACAAGGAGGACGTCGACCCCATCATCGTCGACTCCATCAAGTACCTCCAGCAGGAGCACAACATCACCAACCTCGGTGCTGTTGGCTACTGCTTCGGCGCAAAGGTATGTCCACGTCAAACCACACCAATGCGCAACAGCCCAGAGCGGCCTAGCTAACGTTTTCCTTCACAGTACGTTGTTCGCCACTACAAGGACGGCATCAAGGTCGGCTTCGTCGCCCACCCCAGCTTCGTTGACGAGGACGAGCTCGCCGCCATCAACGGCCCCCTCTCCATCGCCGCCGCCGAGACCGACAGCATCTTCCCTACCCCTCTGCGCCACAAGTCCGAGGAGATCCTGCAGAAGACTGGCCTGCCCTACCAGATCAACCTGTACTCCGGCGTCGAGCACGGATTCGCCGTCCGCTGCGATGTCAGCCAGAAGGTTCAGAAGTACGCCAAGGAGCAGGCCTTCTACCAAGCCATTGCCTGGTTCGACGAGCACCTTTTGTGACTCAATGGAGGAGCGCGAGGAGACACCAAGTTGTGAATAATACCGGGCTGGAAAGCCGGCAATGAATGAATATACCAAGCCATGAACCCTACGCAACTCTTGCTGATGAAACTATCAAAGTGAGCATTCCTGTCAGTGACTCTCTTTTGACCAATCATTCTTGATGAAATCAGCACATCTCTCTGCAACCATATAGACTGGAGCCGTGGTGTGGGCACTGGTGACCATCGGAAACACACTCGCGTCTGCGACCCTCAGATTCTTGAACCCGTGAACCTTCAAATCCTGGCCAACGACAGCGCCATCCTTCTCTAAGCCCATATGGCAGGTTGAGGTCGGGTGATAGAAGTTGAGCAGCCGCTCTCTGAGAAACCTGTCCATCTCCTTATCCGACACGTCTTTCCAACTGCCCTCCATACTTCCTCGCTGGACTCCAGGAGCAATATGCCAGGTGGAGTTGAAAGGATACTTGGATTTCCGGAACGTCTCGACGTAGTTCATCGCGAAACGGGCTGCCTTTCGCGCCACCGCCCAGTCGCGCGGATCCGTGAGGAACTGAGAGTAAAACTTGGGAAAGGCCAGGGGATCTGAAGACGCCAATTCGATCCGACCCCTTGAAAAGGGCTGGACGAGACACGTCTGGAAGCCGCAGTACCCCTTTCCCCTCTCATAGTCGAACGCCGCGTTGATGAACAGAAGCTCCACATCGGGGGCGTTCTCTGGAAGATGCGGATCCCTCCTGCGCTGCTCATCGGAGGCATCCTTGGGTGGCTTCAGCGTCATGGTCTTCTCGTCGATATTCTCGCTGGAAAGAAAGGCGCACAGTCGAGCACCTGAACGTGAGAAAATGCCCGTCTTCGTGAAGATGAAGAGAAGAAGGTGCCAGATGGCTATGAGAGGGTTGAGTAGGCGGATATAAGAATCAGCAAGGCGGACTTGAAAGGCGATGCTGAAGGCGATGTGGTCGTTGAGGTTTGCTCCGACTCCGGGTACGTGTCGCACCAAGGGGATCTTGTGTTGTTCAAGCTGTTCCTTGGGGCCAATTCCACTGCGAGGACTCAGCTGGAGTAAAAATCATACTTCCGATAGGGGTTTTACGTACCTCAGCATGAGAAACTGGGGGCTGAATAGGGCACCGCAGCTGACAATGACCTCCCTATTTGCACTGACAAGACATTCTTTCGCCGACTTTTGGTCAAGGCGATCCAAGATGTATACACCGGTTGCTTCTGTTCCATCTTGGTTGAATTGGAGTCTCGTGGCCACGGCGCCGCTGCAAATGGTGAGGGTTTCCTGGCGCCCCAGCACAAGCGACTTGGGCAGATAGCCCACCTGGGCGGAGTTGCGATGTCCAGTCTTAGTGATCATGTGCTCGATCTCAAATAAGGCTTCTGGCGGGGCATTCGGGTTGTTGATGTCGTTCCGCACGGGCAAATTCATGTCCTTTGCTGCTTCCTCGATACTGTTTGGCCATCAGTATTAATACGTTATGAGAAGCGCGGTACCTCTTACTACTTATCGACGGAATTCAAGGACGGGTCTTGTCTGATATGGATTGGGCCTTGAGATCATTTGTCAGTGTCACATCAACAGTGCTCAGCACGTGGAAGTCGATTACCATTATGACCGCGATAGGGCGCCTTGGGCTGAGACGAGGCATTCTCAAGCTTCTTAAAGTAGGGCTCACACTTCTCGAAACTCCATTGGTCGTTGCCGAGAGCTGCCCAGTGGTTGTAGTTGGCGGGAGGTCCGCGCGTGTACTGCAGCCCGTTGTGTATGGATGCTCCGCCGAGCGCCTGCGATGCGAAGTATCTGACCGGAACGCCGCTCCATTGTTCGTCGGGTTCTGAAGGGATGGTATCGATGTCGGACCCGTAGTTTTCTCTTGCGTTGCCAACAATGGGCATGCTATTCAACCAGTCGTCCTTGACTTTGCCCTTGGATATGACGAGGACGCTGACATTGGGGTCTTCGCTGAGTCGAGAGGCGATCACGCATGCTGCTGTTCCGCCTTTTGGCCAGTCAGATTTCGAGATGCTAGCCCAAAATTGGGAGCATACTTTGACTTACCCCCGACTATGATGTAGTCGTAGCTCTTGCCAGCCACGTCGGCGACTCTACGCTCTGGGTATCGACTTATGAAGGGCCAAAACATTGCGGTTCAATCTGGCCAGAGCAGACACGTGTTTCTCGCAGCACAAATCTCGTAACGGGAGGAAATGACTGGGGATGGCCATGGCTTTATTCTTTGTCTCACCGGGATTTGGTGTGTTGACGAGCATGCTGAGGGGTTGCAGAGAGGATCCTGACGCCAGCATGAAGCTAAAACAAGCGCTTATGTATTCAAAGCTGTCCTTACCGGTTCTTTGATAATGAGACATTTCTATCGGAACATTCGGGCTGCTCGGTTTCGCATGGGACTTTGGTGGTAACATGCTATGGGTCCAAAGAAGAAGTGGTCATGTTGCGACTGCCAACGTAATTTGTCGGACTGTCTGCGTGGGATGAGTGCTTACGATCATATTGGCCGGTTTGGCATTGACTTCACTCGAAGGAGGAGATTCTTTATGGTTTAAGATTTAGAAGATCAGTACTCCCATGTTTGAGTGCACGCTCGATGGCTTCTAGTCACATAGTCTGCATGCAAGACATGTCGTCGCTGGCGATGATGAGTGGAGTGAGACATTGAGTGGATGAGAATCTTCGCCATTGAAACCTCTTGGCTGGATCCAATCCAATGACACTGGTCCCCCCTACAGCTGTGGCATCTTTGGCCTGTGCTGCCGGGTACCTTTAGCGAGGTGGACACTACAGGTGGCGGAAAACGGAGCGCTAAGACGCTATCAACGATTTGAGGGGAAGCTTGACAGTTGCGTGCTCAAGCAAGTATCCAGGCAGGAAACGGAGCTGCCCGTAATGCACTGCCATCCCGCCTTCAACTGTTCCCGCTCGCTATATTTTGCACCGACCTTTGGTTCGCACGGCGGGCCGCTCCTAGTTCTGGGGCACACGCGGGTTTGGCTTTTTGGGACGGGGCGGTTTAAGCAGTACCTCAGTTGTGAAGCACTGCCACTATCAGACGTCAACACAACTGCATTCTCCCCTCGTCCACGTCAACGTACATACATGCAGCAAGCGCATTGCATCGCCAACGCCGGCTACCGTTGCCATTGTTGTTTGCCGTTGTCGTAAATCATGGCGGAGCCCGCGAATCCCGCTGCCTGCTGTTGTTCCACAAACCCACCCAGCAGCACTGCAAAATAGTGCCATATGAGCCACGAGCTAGCGACTGATAGGGCTATTGGGCAAGACAAGGGGGCCATGCTGCGGCCAGGGGGCCACGGTTCTTTGCTGATGGATGGACGGGGCCTCTCCATTTGAGAGAAACAAGATGGCTGGGCAAACGGTTCGTGTCTGCCTGCTGGCCGTTGGCAGCATGCGCGCACCGCTGTACGAGACGGAACAGGACAGTCTCTCGCAGCCTTCGACCAACGTTCTATTCGCCAGGTAATTCGATGCCGGTGGCAGAGACACAAGTCAGCCCATCCACCGTCTACCCGTCTACCCGTCCAACAGCTTCCCAGCTGTAGACCCTTCTCAACGCAGGCGGCTGTGCCGCCATCGCGCGCTAGCACGTCGTGCAGCCTCGTCTGCCCTGCCCTGCGCTGCTCTTTGCCAGCTTCGACACACCCGACACCCCAGGTCTCCTCCTGGGCCACTCGAGCTGAACAAGTCTGACGCATCTGCCAGGAGGCTCGGCTCCCTCACGTCTCCTCTGTCCATGGCTTCTTCAACTACGTCCCCCTACGACCCCAATTCCTCGAGCGAGTCGAACACGAAGAATCTACCGAGCCGATTGTGATACACAAGTTCAGAGCCTGATCGTGAACATCGGCAGGGAGAGGCACAGCAGCGTACATCTGCTTAAGGCCTCGCCTACACGCCCACCATGACGACGGGCATGAACGATTCGCAGTTCAGGGAAACGCTGGACCTGATCAACAACAACATCAACGACGACGACAACGAGTTATGGGTGGCCATCGCCGCTCTTGTCATCTCTCTTATTGCTTTACTTGCTTCGCTACTACAAGTTGCTCAGCAATACTACGCCTCTGCGGCCGGATACTCAAGTTGCGACGACAAAGCGATAGGGCTGTGGGAACAAGGAAGGAGAAGAGTGCTCAAGCCTTACGAGTTCCGATTCGAGGTTCAATTCGAGGCGCCCGTCATCTTTCTTTGCCGCCCCGGGAACGAGAACGGTCCTGTCAAAAAACAGCCGATTTTGTTCATCGATGGATCTCAAAAGAGCCTCGAGGAGACATGGACATCGCTAGGACCAGCCCAGCCTAGCACCGAGAAGGAAATTAAACGTGCGGTACATACGGCCGACAACGAGCTGGCCTCTTGGGTTACTCTTCTCTCAGCATTGCAAAGAATGGAGCACGAGTCTAGAGAATGGCAAAAGAATAAGTATGACAACGAGACAAAACAGCAGCCGCCACCGAAAGCCGACGCTCCTATCAATGCGCCTGAGAATATCGACGGAATACTCAGCTCGGTGACTGCTAGTTACAGTTTGACTGTAGCACTGCAGAAGAAGCTTAAGAGCTGGGACACGATGCCATCCAGCATCAAGAAGCCTTATGCTACTACAACCTGGTGCCACATCGTAGAGATGATTGCGTTGCTTGGTATCTACTGGGTTGAATTTGACCGGACGAATGACAGGTACCGAGCTGAAGGTAACGGGTACACGGTCACTGGATCCAAGGTCAGCGAGCTGGGCATCATGTTCACTTTCCAGGTACATGGACGCAACCGCTTCGAGTCCAATCGCGTGATTCCTGTCGACGAGGTCAAGGAGCTTTGCTTCGGCTTTGTCCCAACGATTTACAAGTCAAAATCAGACGATCGACGTCTCAATCTTCCCATTGGGGAATCCCGGGACTTGTCTAACTTGAACTTTGCGACCATGGACGAGATCGCAGAAACTCTGGTGTTGATCGGCTGCAACACAAATACAGTCAGATACTTCTCTGACAACAAGACGACAACGAAGCTTGGTCATCTTTTCCCAGGTAATTGACAATATGAGCAACACAGCGCAGAGTTCTTGACGCTGACGTCGTACAGTTGCATTCGAGATTGTTGGCATGCTTGGACAAACTCTTCACATTGACAGAAGTGTGTTCCGTTTGCTCCCGAATCCAACTCTTTTCAAATGGGATACGAAGAACTTTGATCTGCCGAGGCTGCTCGATGCATATGCCTACCAGCTTAAGAAGCTCTACGGCGGAAAGAAGAATCCCAGCGATGAGGCGAGGCAGATCTGGAGGCATATCAAGATTTTGCAGAAGGAAATCAAGCCGGCGCCGGCGAATCGACGCACCGAACTGAGCTTGCCGCTCATGAGCGCCCTACATGCTGCACTCGACGACACTGACGATATCTTGACATTCAGGAGGAAAGAGACCCGCCCGACCATGCACAGGGAATACACAACCAAGTCCAAACTCATGCGATCCATCTCGGATAAGCCTGGAAACGTGCTGGGAGACCATACAGAAACGGCCTACGAGGTGGAACGACGTGAAATGGTCCGGTATGTGCTTCGCAGCCACATCCAGGAGGTTCTTTCTGGCTTCAACCCTCAACCTGGCAAACGCACTCAAGACGCCTCCGGCTATCCTGCAACCACGACCACAAAAACCAAATCACGCTTCGAGGCCATTGACGCGGCTCCTCCAGAGCTCAAGCAAGCCAAACTCATGGAAGTGTACTTCAAAACGGTGCGGCAAAAGGTCATAGATGAGTCGCAGAAGTCGACGGATCGGCGGGCGGAGGAGACCAAACCCAAGGCAGCGCCGGCGCCGGCAGGCTACGGTCTCAAGCGTGCGACCACGGCGCGTACAACGCGAACAGTCGCAACAATCGAGTCCTCAGACGAAGAGTCGGAGGAGGAGATTGCGTTTGAACACCTGCCCGAGATCGAAGATGACAAAGAAGAGATTGACTTGCTGGATGAAGACACGTCCCATGAGACCACCCATGAGGACATCTGGTGCACGCTCGTCTTCCGGATGATCTGTTGGCTCATGCTTCACGACTTCCACAAGAACGACGTCCAACTGCCCAAGAGTGAGCTTTTTGGCAGTCGTTTGCCAGTGTACATTGCTTGATTGGCCGTCGGACGGGGCAGTGAGAGCAGTGATGAACATCTGCCTCGTGTCTCGTTCTAGCCACGAGCGTTTTGCATTTAGGGGAGTGTTTAGGAAGATGGAAATTCCCTTTTGTATTAGCATGGCAGCGCGTTTGGGGACTCACAGGGACATGATGATCATTTGGCTATGAAAAAGTGCACAATAGATTTCAATTCAAGGCATGAATGATGATTACTCACGAATGCTTCAACCGACCTAATGCATGCGGAGTGATGTTCCGAACCAAGATTGTGGTTAATTATTGGAAAATGCCAGAACGACCTTCTAGACTTGTGGACATGATATATTCAATACCCTTTGTGTGCAGGTTGCTAGAATGCAATCGGAAGCCAGGCGAAGATGGTGAGGCAACCCGGAGTGCCGGAGAGGTCTGGAAACGGAAGACGGATATGCGGGGCCCGTCACTGGCTCGTCACCGAGGCACTACAGCGGACCAGAAAGCAGGGGCAGTGCCTACGGCGGGTGGTTGCTGCGCTGTTTCATTCCCTGTCCTTCGGCGTGCCTCCGGTGCTGGCGAGCGGCGCGCGGAATGGCGCCGCTAGGCTGGATCGGGGGGCGGGCAGCCCAGGCCAGGCAGGCGGCGGCAAACAGGGCAACAGAGCGAGGGACGGGCAGGGGGGGTTAAGAATACCGGGGACACCGGGGGGGTCACCGGGGGAGGGCAGCATAGGATGGCTGGCTTAGCGGGTGGTGACCGGACAAGACGAGAGGGAGCCCAAGGACACACAAGGCCGGCTTTCGCAAGGCAAGATGAGCGTGGCTGAAGGACTTGCTTACGAATGGGCAGGTAGCTTTGATGACGAGAAAGGGGGCTTTTTGCTGCAAACAGGCAGTCTTTTGGTAGTAATCGGTAGGAGAAGGGGGCAATATGCATCTGACGTTGGACCGGCGGAGCGTGTGCGATTCGTATCGGGGCCTGGGTGCTGACACG